TTCGGTAGCTTTACATTAAAGTTAGACCCGGAGTTTGTTGAAAACTGAGGAAGTAACAAGTCGGACTTTAAACCAGTATCAGTAACAGATGATTTTTTAATCTTAAGTAATGCGTCTTTCAACTCTGCCTTATAATCGTAATACAATTCTTCGGTCGTTTCGTACATGTTATTTTCACAATAGACAGATGCTTGGAACTCTGCGGTGTCTACATCAGAAAGAATTTGTAGGTGGTTGTCTTCAAAAGATATCCATTGAACTTCTAAGTTCTCCAACCTCGCCTCAATATAACTTTGAGTAAGACGTGCTTTGGGTGACTTTTTAAAATTGTCTTTACCATTTTACTAATAACTGACTTTACATGTTCTTGTCTTTTATCTAATTTCTCCATGTACGTTTCTAAATAACTTCGACTAAAATTAAATTAATTAACGAACGTGCATGCAACAATAATTATTGTATATAAAGAAAATAGAATATAACCTAACCCAATAACAAAATTACAACATGAAAATTTTCAAAGTGTATGACAACTTGACAATCACACAAATAACCAAAGTCCAAAGAGAATTTATTACAATTTTTCCAAGTGTTTTGCAAATTTGACACTTGGGGAAAATCGGGCATAGGTTCCCCGTCTAAACAGATTTTAGCCTAAAATTATACAAGTCCAAACCAAAGTACTACTAAATTGATCCTAATAAACTTAGTCTTCAAACTTATTTCTCCTATGTAAATAAAGTTCAAATTCACTCACTGTTTGTTCCGCATGCCATACCATATGTGTTTCGTGTTCAGCTGCTGGAAAACTCTCAAAAAATATTTCCAAAACTGCAGCGCCCTCTATTGTCAAGGTTTGTTTGAATTACAGCTTCAACTTCGACTCGAACCCTTTGGAATTACTCCACAGCAGCAGCAGTAAAACATAACACGGCAATAGACAATAAATTAAATTCCTCAACTTAACCTGCAAAGTTTTTATGTATGGCGCGTTGAACACGTTGCCTCTAGGTGAGCCTTAATCCGGGCAATCCGGCATACCGTAGGACCAATGTTTAGTGTCCCAAAAAGGAGGTGGAACTAACTTAAGAATTAAAAACCTGTTTCAATATTAAATAGCGAGATAGCGTTTATTGCTTTTACATAACATACTTATATTTCAAACAAAACAAAATGGTAACGTGATTCAGTGAACTATTCCTGCCATCTATCGTACAAAAAGTTAAGTAATTCTAAACAGTACTTGAAATTTGAATCAATCGTGTGTCAATATTACGATAACACACAAGTAGGTATAAAAGGTAGGAACTTCATTACATAGGTAAGTTAAGAACTAGTATTGAAGCGGGTTATTTTGTTTTCGTGTGCCAATATTACGGTAACACACAAGTAGGTGTAGATGGTAGGTACTTCATTACATAGGTAAGTTAAGCATACCAGTACTGAAGAGGATTATTTTGTTTGTAGGAGAATACTTTATCCCGGATCGGGAAAAATGCTATGTTTCTGTTCGGCGCAGCTGCGAATTACAATTAGTAGGTAGGTACAGTTAGAAAATACATATACTTAGAACCTAGGTGTCGTGAAGAGATAAAAATTTGCTTCTTGTATTTATTATAATTACCCCAATCTTATATAAATAAAAATGAATCTCCGAACCGAATTGGATTATTCATTTTTTTGTGACAAAGTTTGTGTGACAAAAATATGGTGGTACTAACTTCGCTGGGTGGGCTAGTTTAAATTAGTAATTATTTATCAGGTAGAGACCTGCAAACATATGGTGTTAAGCATGTTCATTTCCTGTGACAGTAATTTATAGATTTCGTCTGCCACCCAGGGAGTTAGACACCGTGACCAAACCAGCTCGGTCAGTGGATAGCTTGTGAAAAACGGTCGAGCACTCAAGTTAATCAATAGAAAACTACTGAATATCAATAGAATTTTATTAAAGCGATGGAATATTTTTTTTTGCATAGGAGTGTTTTATTAGGCCTACATAATAAGATTTGATTGAAATAAAAAAAATGCATTAATTAAACGACAATTATACGACGCCAAATATGGCTTCGCATGCAGTCTGGTCATTTATTAAAAATCCATGTATGGCTTCGTATGGGTTTAGGACAAATCTGAACTATATTTCGTAGAGTACTTTATAATAATAACGTTTGTCGTTGTAACATAAACATTAGGTATGTTTATGTTACAACATTTAACGATATTTTGAGCAATACTGGCATAGATGTCGCGTATTTTTCTTCCAAACAGGAAAATGACTGATCAAGTCAGATCTTACTGAATCCAAAGGCATTTCTCGATGTCTGGTGAATTATAGAACGGAGTATTTCTAAAAGCTTATGCAGCCTCAGCTAGATGCCGGTATACCAAAAATGGCAGATGGACAACCACATTTTTCCATATCGGAGCTTTGTCACCGTCGGAAACTGATTTTGATTCAACAATTTTAATACGGTTTTTTGAGTTTGACGAATGAGCGAGGTTCAAATTCATCACTATTAAAAGTAATGGACAACTATGGTGTAAGCATATATATAATACAAAGTGGAAGGACCAGTAAAGATCTTGAATTAAATACACGTACGTTCTGATGCTTTTGTATATTTATCCGAACAACTGAATTTACTATTTACAATGTGTCAGGCGATAGTGTGACAGATTACTTTTACTACATCTAGCCAGTAGGGCTCACTTGCATCATCTGATAAAAAGAAATATCATCAACACCCAAGCTGCCATCACCAGAAGTAATATTAACAACATGCTTTGTAGTGCAATAACAGAGCGAAGGCCTCATTTATGGAATAAGTAAAAAGTAACGCTGAATGCACACGAAGCCACATATGGCCGGAACATTTTTGACTGTCACGCATACGAAGTCGAAAGTTGCAAATAAGAAAAATAAAAAAAGCGAAAAAATACTGAAGTGAACACATTATTCTATTTTTCATTATAGAATATTATAACTATTGAGTGAATTAGCCAAAATATAACAATAAGTGTCCCGTAAGACGGAAAAAAATCGCCCATCTGCGAGCCGTTTTGTCCTGCATTGCAAAAACAGTAAAAGTTAAATGAATATAATGTATAGTGGAAATGTATCTCTTAAATAGATGTACCAAAAGAAATAAAAAGCAAGTCCAGTAGTCTATAATCCTGTTTAGTAAGGAACATAGCATCTTTAACAGTTGGGACCCATTAGATATTGAAGAATGGATGATTTTTTTTTTTATATTGGGTCCCGACTGTTAAAAATGCTTTGTTTCTTACTTAACAGAATTATAGACTACTGGACTTCTTTTTTCTCTTCAGTTTTTATTTGAAGCAGTAGTTATTTAATCATATCGATTTTTTAGATTTTTTAAAGGACATGGTAAAGTTTTGTATGAGCGACTGCCCTGGCAATGTATAAATACTGTACTTAGTAATATTTAAAGGTAAATGGCTGAATATTTATAATTTCTATCAAAAAAGAACTTCTACTATGTCATTACCTTACTACAGTTGATAAAATATATTGCCAATTATTTAAAAAGTCATCAATTTCGCATTTTCTTAGAATCTTTCTTCCCATTTCTCTGATTAACTCTTCACAAAACGTTTTTTAAAGCAAAAATAAATACAAATAATTTGTTTTGTCGGCCTGACAGGAAATCTGTGAAGTTTTATTTTGTCCATTTGCAAAAATTAAAGAATAAATAATCATACAGCCTTGTCTCAAGCCTGATCATAATAATAAAATCTATTATTTTAGGCCTTCAGTGATTTGTTATAATAAAAATTAGGGCCCAATATATCACAGTTTAAAGGAGTTTAGAAATAATATTGTTTATTTCGATGGTACTTACACAAATATTTTTCGTTTAGATTTATTGTTCAATTATTTTATAAAACGGAACATTTTGCTTTTGAAACAGACATGAAGTCAATTTTTATACTTTTAAATATTTGATTATTTCACGAAAGCTGTATGAGAATAATAAACACGTAATAATTAATAAAAATATATTGTAAAGTTACGGGCTAATGCGAAATATTTATACACGTTAAGGGCTATTTCTTGGCCATGTCCTTTACCTTTTCTATGTAGGAATCACAGTATGTAAACTTTACTTTGAAATCCATTTGAAGAAAGAGCAATATTTATCTCGGAGAACGGTGACAATGTGACAATTTATGATCGGTGGCAAAATGAAAAAAGCTCTGGGCAAGTGCATGTCGGACCACGCGCAGTATAGGGTTCCGTATTTACCCAACCACAAGGAGCAATTTTACTAAACTTATATGTTAATTTCCAGGGTACATTTGAATAGATAAATCAAATCAGCGATGGCTCTTCGAAACCATCATAAATAGTATATAAAACCCAAAAATATAATGTATATACCTAACTCTGAGATCTTTATACATTTCTAAATTGGTCAGTCAAGAGCACAGAACATAATAATTTATAGAGGGCTCAGATAGAACGTAGTCTTAGTCAATAATGACTGTAACTACCATCTAGACTAGACACTATATCGCAAAACAAAGTTTTCCCATTTACAGACGGTGAGTTTATTATACTACTTTTTATCATAATAAATGTACAGACGACAACACAACACATGGTCACAACTCGCAATTTATCAATATTTTTCAATCGATTAAAGAACAAATTGTGTTAGGAAAGCTTGGGGTTTAACAGTTTTGGATAACATGACCAGTACCCTTAGCACGAACCAAAATCCGAAATGTCACAATGACATTTCGGACTCGCAAACGTTACGAATTCGATTTTGGTTCGTGCTTGGGGTACAGTTCTTGACTGTATTTTTTCGATCGGATGTTCCTCATTGATACTCACCTCCCCTCTAAGGTATAATAAGTTAGGTATATTAATGCGTATGTAATAGTATGATTAGGAACACAGTTTATTGTCATTGTCTAATGTTTTTAATCATTTTATGTGAATGTTTTGATAATATTGGAAGACTTACTTACATTCTCGGTGCAGAAATATAGAGACGATTTCTGGACTTCTTGTTAAAATAAAATTTACGTTGAAATATTTTACTACCACAATAAAAATTGTGGTAGAATTTTAAGCGTGCTCTTTTAAAAATACTGAATTGATTTGCTTGACGAGGCCGAAGAGGCTTGAACTGAATGACACACAATGTCAAAAATTATTTTTGACAATGATTTTCATGTTGAGTGTGGTAGAGACTATAAAATAATCAATTAGTGAAAGCGCCATTTACAATGTGTCAGCCGCCAATCGAATCGAAAGAAATCGAGTGGCTGCCACTAAGCCACTATTATAGTGGTCGTGTTAAGTGGCTAAATCAATATGCGCTAGCTCATGAGGAGTAAAATTTCAGTACCTATTTGTTGAGACAATTAAAATGTTGTTAAAGTATTTCATATAATGAATTATTTAAATGATCCTCAAAGATTAGGTAAGGTTATCAATCATATTGTTTTGAGGACCAATCACTATTTTTTGATGACCATTAAAATGCCTTATTTAATTTTGATAATAATGTTAAAGTAATAAAAAACCAGCCAAGTGCAAGTCAGACTCGCGCACGAAGGGTTCCGTACTATTATCTATACATCATTATTAACAACAAACAATTTTATTGATAAAAAAATTGCAAAACAATCACGTCTGTTGTATGGGAGCCTCCCTTAATTAGTTCTTTTATTTTAATTTAATTATTTACTTTTAAAGTGAATATACAATTATTAGTTGTTATAACGGCAACAGAGTAGGGCAAGTCCGGGAGAGTTAAACCACTTTTAATATAAAATATCATAATTACTTGTTTATTGGGTTAAGAGAATCGATTATACACTTGTGCGATGCCTTACTTTAGTAGGCAAATTTGTGCTTAATTGTGTTGCTAATAAATATGCAGGTTTTTGGCATTTTACTAGAAATTGAGACACTTGAACCGGGGTATGGGAAGAGTTGACCATATTATTTTTGTGAAAAATAAAAATAATATTCAGCTTTAATCATAGTTTTATTATCTTATCTTATACAATATAACTTGTTTTTAATACTGCCATCAAAGAAAATGTAATTAACATTACAATTTTTTGTAAAATTGTTCCAAAATCAATAAAATCACAATAGTAACTTTTTATATAAACAATTAAACATAATCAAACTTTAGCAGTGTATTTAATATTAACTTTTTATTATAACATTTGGTATCATTTACCAGTCTTAATAAAGTTTTAAATTATATCTTCTTCAGAAATAATTATCTTAACAAAATAACCAAATGTTCATACTGATAACATTATTATTAATCTTTGTAATAATCAGCCTTTATTCAAATGCCAACTGCATTGCTTGTTTTCTTGTTAAACCATAATGCATTTTACTACATGTCAACAAATAATTGACAAGAAACTTTTCCTCGGCTGTTAAAATACTTGTGATGCTTTGTATTGACTGCTTTTCTTTTATTCAAATTTATGAATTTTATTTTCATTTAATTAATAACGTCTCAAAGTACTTCCATCTATGCCATATTTATTTGAAGTTTGTCTAATAGAAGCGCCTCTCTTAATTTCATCTATGGCATTTTGAAACTCCACTTTTGTGTTTTTTTCGTTTGCGTGCATTTTCAGGAGGCTTGTAATTAAAAAGACATCGTACAAGTTAGCACTGCAAATAAATTATATTAAGATAGAATAAAAAACAATTAAACAAAATTAAGTATAATTTTCCTGCACAGGGAGATATGAACCACTGAGCAAGTCTCCCGGAACCACCCTGGTGCAAATCTCCCGCTCACACTAATTCCCCTTTTAGGTTATGACAAAGAAAAAACACTTAGCACACGTCAAACTACATTTGCCTGGCAATCTTATAATAGCAACACACAATACGTACCTCAATCAATACGACAGCAATCACAAAAGTACTTAAAACAAAAAATATACTCCGCAGCAACAAAAACACATTCTAGAATGTCATTGACGAACAACAACGCTATGGTGCAAAATCGCTGCATACTTATGATTGCCCTCGTGAGTGCGACCAATGAACGCTTTGACGTTTCCTTTGCGCTAAATTTAAATACAATTTTGAAAGGTGGCTCAACTCTCCCACCTGGGCATTTCTCCCGGTTTTCCTCTACATCATCTGTGAAAATTTTAATTGTCTCGCTATCACGGTTCATGAGATTCAGCCTGCTGACAGACATACAGACAGACAGACAGTAGCATTTTAGTAATAGAGTCTCGTTTTTACCCTTTGGGTACGAAACCCTTATAATCAGAAAAATAGAGCATCATAATTAATATTTGTGAATGTGATATGCAATGAATAAATGAATAATTTTATTTAGTTAGTTTTTTAAAGAAATGTAGATTTAAGAAAGTAGATTTTGCAAAGAAATGACAAACAAACTTTTTTTAGTTCTTTTCGTCCCTAATGCGAAAGGCAAAGGCAAAGCCATGCAGCCATCGTATTATTTTTGTATTAATCTTCCTTTTTTTTAAATTAGAATGTGGGTGTGACGAATTTTAATGTTTCTTGGTGTGTTTGGCTTGAAATGTATCGAGTCGACTTTCTCGACAAGCTTCTGTGAGGTAGTCAAAACTACAATAAAGTTCTCACATCCACTTGACCGATATAACGAATATTTTAAAGATTCCGTTAATTTTTCAGTTCCGCAGACGATTGTTACACAAAATCACACTAATTTTAATTCTCAATCTCTATGACCGAAGTTAAAGAATAATTAAAATATGACGCCAACCGCACTCGTCGAAATCCCGCCAAAAACCCCACTCTCACTTTTTTAAAATACACTTATATACAGTTAATCTGTGATATAAAAATATTAAAAACTATTACTCAAGGAACTTATATATACTATCTGGAATACTTACGAAACAATATGAGAATTAAAAAATGTACTCTAAATAGTTACACATAAAGTCCATTTTGTTTCTTTCTACATAAGAGAGAAATATTCTCCGAGCAGAACAACGACGAAAGCGGAATTTGTCCCTCTCTTGCAATTATCAGTATTAATAAAAATAATTATATGGTAGTTTTCACATTATCCCGATAACTATTTTATAATAACAAGAACGTACAGTTTGAGAGTTAAATTAGCATTTATGTTAGATTGCAGTTAGTATATTGATATAAATGCAAATAAAAACGTGTTTATTTTTATTTAAACGGATAACATTTAATAAAATTGTTTAATAAAAGTGGTAGTCATTGGCAGTAACTTGCATTTATGCATGAAATGGACAGAATATGTTAAGACGAATCTAATGAGCCCAAACTCGATATGTTTACTAGTAAGCAGTCCAGGGTCCATCAGCCATCTTCCAGTCCATCGTCAGGTCCACGTCATTAGGAGAAATAAACAGAATATGTTAAGACAAATCTAATGAGCCCAAACTCGATAAATGTTAACTAGTAGGCAGTCCTAGATTCCAACAGCCACCTTCCAGTCCATCAGCAGACCAGCTCGATGGTACCATAATATTGTATTGTCATTTAATCTACATATAATTGCCAAGTTTCATGATGTTACAAGAATCATAAGTGCGTGTAATTCAGATTCTTAGATTCCATTACATAGTTACATACAGGTCGACCTAATAAAAGCGTGTTAAAAAAGTGAGTCATCATCCGATCCCTCTAGCGCTGTGCTAAAAAATCAGAACATGGCCCTCTGGTTTCGTGAGTGAACTGTCGAATAAATTACTAGGTTTATAGGTTATCAGCCCGTATGACCCAACCCTATTGCAAATGCGCTAAACTGCTTTATAGGTCACCGGGAGGCTTTTACGAGGCCATCCAGGACATTAAGACTAGCATTGATCTGACTTACGCGGGAAGTTATTATTACACAATCGTTATAGATACTGTTGTGGTATATCACTACATAGTATAAAACAAAGTCGCTTTCTCTGTCCCTATGTCCCTTTGTATGCTTAAATCTTTGAAACTACGCAACGGATTTTGATGCGGGTTTTTTTAATAGATAGAGTGATTCAAGAGGAAGGTTTATATGTATAATACATGCTTAATATAGTAGAGAAACACTGATAATTTTAGAGGTTTTTAATATAAGTTCTTAAATAAACACATTTTTTTGCGCTTACATTGCAAACGCTGGCTGAACCCAACGAGATAAATCAAAATAATGTACTACAGTATTGTACACCTTAAAAAGGTCTACAAAAAAGTCCGCGATGGTATATGTCTATCTCTTAAGGATAACCCACAATAACCAATTTTTATCCTATACTTTTTACGAGAAATAATAGATTATTTACGAAGCGATTTTAATCAATATAACATTCATCCTTATCCAATTAAGTACCTTAAATACATTGTGCATTTAATATAGAACAATTTGGCCCTTTAACGCATATAATTTAAATGAATATTTTCGAAGATATTACAAATTTAAAATTCAGGGACATAGCGGTTCCGACGCTACCGGCACGGTAATAAAGATAATATTACCGTGCTACCGGGCTTGGCGGCGCGTGCTTATTGTAATTGGGTATTAGAAGAATGTCATTGTGTATAATACAAGCCTGAGAACAAAAACTATAGTCTACACTACAGCTTTACACCGAAGCGAAGCGAGGGCGGGCCACTAGTTATGAATATATCATAGTGGACAATATTCAATTTCACCTTTTTTTGTTTCCTCCCAAGCAGGGGAGCGAGTGCTCATGGATATCGATATTCACAGTTGGTTGTAGGCTTATGTCAGGCTTTTACTGAATAAAGCACGCTTCTGGCCTAACGCTTTTACCCAATGCGAGTAAATTAGGTTGATTCAGAATACGATGAACTCATCTATAATAAAAAAAAACCCGGCCAAGTGCGTGTCGTGCCACACTTAGTGTAAGGTTCCGTAGTTGCCTGTAGTTACCACAATTTATCTGAGAAGGAGTCTTTATTTTCAATGTCTCAAATTTAAAATCAATTCGATATATATTTTTTAAATACGAATGATATCCACCGTTTTTTATTTTGGTTCCTCTCAGGGCGGTGTGAATTCCTCATGGTTACCCTACAGCCGGCAGCATGTTTATGACAGACTCTTACTGACTAAAAGCATCATCTGAAGCGATCATCACCTGAGAAAGGGATGATGCGGTAT